TCTGCTCTGGAGTGTTGGGCTGCCAGGGATTTGCAGTAATTCCCCCCCATGAGTTGATTTCCTGGTGATGTTGGATCAGTAACTCTCTCCCGTGGAGTCAGAGCACAGTCCCTCGGTCACAGAGAGATGGGACACACTTACAGCAGGAACCTCTCGACCATCCCAGGCACTCGGAGCGTCTGGCCCATCTCCAGGCACTTCCCGTGACATCTCCCCGCTCCCAGACTCTCCCGTACCACTGGGAGGTGGCACCACTTCACAGCAGGGTCAGAGATGGGCCCAGCTCCCCCAGGGCAGCCCAGAGGTGTGCTGAGGACCAAACACATTTAGCAGGTTGCTGGGTTCTGGGAGGAATGTGGGGGAATTAGTCAGAGATACAGCCCACAGCCTGACTCCTCAGGGCCACACACAGCAGGGTGGGAGAAGGAGAAGCCCTTTATATTTCCCACCCTGACAGGTAGCCCTGTGCCCTGGTTTGGGTTCTTGATTCTATAACACCGCACCCCTGCTAGTTCTCCCAGCCTTTCCCTGGGGCGCTGCTCATGGTCTCAGGATGAGGTCGGGTTGCTTTTGGGTTATTTTGTAGGAAGAGCCACGGCAGGAGGTGATACAGCGATGGCCAGTCTGTGACGCCCTTAGTGTATGTGACCAGGCGTTGCATCGTGTGTTCCCCTCGACGCCGGTCTGTAAGCTGGAGGGAATTTTTTTGATACTCTGCTGAGCGGAGTCTGTCCTTTGAGAGGGGGAAAAACCACCGAGGGCAGGAATGGCTCTGAGTTTCCTTTATTGCAGAGACAGGTGGGGAGTCAGCGATGCTGTCAGGAGCCCTGGGAATGGAGGCTGACACACAAATGTGGCTCCGTGCTCAGTTCTGCTAGTGGGAACTGGCAGCTACAGTTCTTCAACTTTGTGCCCAGTTCTGGGAGTCCGCTTGCATTTTCCGTAGTGCTGAAAGCAAAGACTCCCACGCTGTTCACTAGGGGGAGAGACAGAGACACAGAACTTAGTGCTGCAACCCCCGGCCAGTCAGAGCAAGCTTCTGTCACGGCCCCATTACATCAAATGAGCAGAGCCCTTTGGCTGGCAGGAACAATTCTTCAGACGCTTGCCCCAGGCTCTAGGAGGTACAGAGCAAGGGGAGCTGGCAGGGGCTTGGCTTCCATCACAGTTGCATGTTAGTTGTGTATGTATAAATGGGCCGTTTATTCTGTTACTTACAAGACTGCAATGCAAAAGGTGCATTTGTTGCTGTACGTGTTGCCATCAGTGCCACAGACAGGTTTGTAAATCTCCTGGCATGCTGTAGGAGGTGCCGTGTACTCACTGCAGAAACCCTGCAGTGAACATTGCAATTGCTCTTAGCGTGATTGTCCGTCCCCTCGCCCGGGGCTGGGCGTTCTCTGAACACAGGGGAAGGGACAATCTCTATCCCTGGGAGGTCCCGATGTCTAACCCTGTCCCCTGTCTCCGCTGATCTTCGGACTGACTGCGCAGTTGCCCTCTTGCTGCCACGAGGAGCTGAGCCTCCTCCCACTGTGCAAGAGACGCGTCAGAGCCCTCCCCAAATGTTTGTGTGCAAAGGGGCATCTCCTTCGACCGTCAGGATCTTTTGATACTGTCCCCTCCCCTGCTCTGTCTCAGAGTCACTCCCTGCTCTTCCCACAGGCCCGTCCCCGACTGCCCCGTGCAACAGCGCATGGGATCCACCCCTCAGACCACGTGGCTTGCGTCTACTCACTGCCATGTAGACGTGTGTTCACCCCGAGCTGTGGTACCCGAGAGGGTCCCAGAGCCCAAACATCTCGCACTGATCTTTAGCCCTGCAGCACAAGACCCGCTAGCCTGAGTCAGCTGACCCACTGGTCTTTCCTTGCAGTGTCGCTGTTCCCAGGCATGCTCAGCACCTGAGATTCAGTCTCTGCTCAGTCGGGCACCAGGCAGACTCTGCTCCTGCTTTGACTCATGAGTTCTCGCCAGTTTCTAAGCCAGAGACTGTACCTGGGATGCTTCACACCAGAGAGTGTTAACGAACAGGGGGGATCGACTTACCTCACCAGGGCTGCCAGCAGCATCTGGAACAAAACCCAGACAGACCAGAATCAGTGATGCAAGCGTTGGCGGGAAAGTCAGTGAAAAGCGTTCACCCCTGTGTAGGACACGGCATGCAGCTCTCTAACCGGCCCAGGAAGCCCTGGGAGGAAGTGTCTTGCCCACAACACTCCTGCTAGCGGCCAGAATTACTTGGGGACTATCTCCGACCTGTCTCCTTCATTTCAGTGTCTTCAGAATTAAGTCATAGCAAAATGACATCAGCAATCCCTCATTTTAATGAGACATTTCATTCCACTGGAATTAAAATAGCGGTAAATATTTGGAAAGGATCTAAACTCTTCTGCTTTCTACTTTGGCACCACTGCAGATCCTGTCATGCTAATTAAGAATCATTGACTTCAATTAATTCAGCGCATTAAGCAACACCTAATGAACAGCCACTATGAAGAAACTTTTCCTGTGGGATTACGGAGCTCATGGGACCAGCCTGGTGCTCCATGTCAGAAACAAACCAGCTGCTCCTGGAATCAGCCACAGTGGGGGTGAGAACCCCAGTGCGAGTCAGGATGAGGCCGACCCCGTCCTTCCAGGGCAGGGGTATCAGAGCAGGGCTCGGTGACTCACCTGAGTAGGAGCAATAGAGGGCCAGAGAGAAGAGTAGAACAGCTCCTGTGATCTTCATGGCGAGGCGGCTGTCTGGTCTGCACTGGGCTCTCGGTGCTCTGCTCCCTCCGTAAACCTCAGAGACGGCGTCGCATGATATACAGGGTGTCACAGAACCCGCCTGCAGGATGACATCATCCGAAATAGTCACTCACAGCTCCAGGGCTCTCAAGGGCAATTGCAAGCTTTCAAAAAGGTTATCTCTAGAAGTGGTTTCTGGGGCAGGTTGGAGGACGTGCAAGGCACGCCCTTGGTGTGCTGACTAGAGGAGCAGTGCCGTGGGCTGAGAGGCCCCGTGGGACACATGCCGCCCAAGCCTGGGAATTCCAGTGTGTTGTGTCTGCGAGTGTGCAACATACAACTCATGCTGCAGATTAAAGGTGCTGCCCAGCAAAGCCCCTGACGAATCACCATATTACCAGCCTCTTTCATGAAGACCTACAGGGCCGCCAGAAGGGGACAAGGCTGACCATAAGCAACTCTCACGCTGTCCTAATCTTCCAACTATTCTGCATGAATCCAGTGTCTGGCTTAATCTGGAGGAGTCGGAGGGCAGGTCAAATTCATTCTAATGGCTTGCATCCCCCACAAGCTGTTTCCAGCATCTTGAGACACCAGGATCTTAGCTTGTCCCTTTGCGATGTAATATTCCCTGTGCTCTGTGAAATCATGTTTATGATACGAATGTTTCATCGGTCACAGCTGCTTGATGCAAGATGGCTCTTGTGACATACCATTGGAAAGGTTGCAATTTACCGAATGTGTTTCTCCTATTTGTGTGCATGCATCACTTCAGCGTCTGAAGTTCGGAATAGGGATTGTGGGTTTATTATCAAGGTGTTCCTGTTTGGAAAATTCTATTTCCAGCCCAACAGGTTTCACAAGGAAGATGCCAGACACAGAGGTAATGGCCCATTACCAAAAGAAAATAACTGTGCGAGAACCTGGCTTTTTTTGTAAGCGTGAGGATTATTCTGTATGACTACGTTTACACTGGGAAGTTTTGGCAACAAAAGTGCTGTCGACATGCAAAAGTGAAAATCGGTCAAACCAGTCTTTCTGCCTCCTGTTGTCGACATTTCCATGGCCACCTGGCCAGCTCCCTGTTAACAGCGCAAAACATTGTGGGTAAGCATCCCGCAGTGCAGTGTTGTGGGAAGGCAGAGCTGAACCCTGTGCTGCGTGGGATTCCCTCGTAGCTCTGGGAGCGCTCTGTGCTGAGGAATGTCAAAGCAACACAGCAGTGTCTCCAGCCCCTCCCCCTACAGCAGCAGCCTGCCTGCCACTGTGTTCCTAGCCGGGCAGAACAGGAGCACTCCAATGACTTCTTCTCTTCTCCCCAAACAGAGCATCTCATTCAGCTATCAGATACTTCCCGGAGCTTTGAAAGGGGAGGGGAAATGCAGCCTTGCAGGGCAGCAGAGATCACTAAACACTGAGCAGAGCCATCAGGGCAGGCATTGTGGGATACTGGCGGAAGCCATTTTTCTCAACAAATCAAACAGCAGAGTCCACACTGGCTCTTTGTCGACAATAGAGGGAGGTGAAAAGACAAAAGTCATAATTCAAAATGATCTGGACACACTGCAGAAATGGTATGAGGTAAATCAGATGAAGTTTAAGGAGGACAAATGCAAAATACGCCACTTGGGAAGGAACAATTAGTTTCACACACAAAGAATGGGAAGTCGTTGCCTAGAAAGCAGTACTGCAGAAAGAGATCTAGGGTCATAGTGGACCACAAGCTAAACATAAGTTAGCAGAGTGACACTGTTGCAAAAAAAAAGCAAACATGATTCTGGGATGCATTAACAAGAGTGTTGTGAGCAAAACACAAAACTAATTCTTTCTCTCTTCTCTGTGCTGATTAGGTCTCAATGGAGGATTGTATCCAGTTCAGGGTGCCACATTTCAAGAAAGATGTGGAATAATTAGAGAAGGTCCAGAGAAGAGCAACAAATATGTTTAAAGGTCTAGAAAACATGAGCTATGAGGGAAGACTGAAAAAACTAGATTTGTTTAGTGTAGAAAAATTGAGGGGAGACTGGGAGTATCCCGAAATAGCTATCCCGCATCTACAAAGCAAGCTCATTATTTTGGGCTCACTATTCCAACGTCCCTGTAAACCTCATTCTAGGAGGAGTAAGGGATGTTTCGGAATAGCGCTTTATTTCGAAGTTTGGTGCTGTGTAGAGAGCACCATTTATCAAAATAATCTATTTCAAAATAGCATCGAAATAGGATACAAAATTTACATAGCTCAAATAGTGCATCTTATTTTGAGTTATGGTGCTGGGTAGGTGCACCCTCTGTGACCATTTCACCTGATACTGGGAGCCATCTTGATTTCTGTAATTTTCCATGGGACGCTGGGTGGGGCGGGGGGTGGAGGTGTTTCAAACTTGGAACGAAGGATTCCTGTCTTGTGCAAAGCCCACTCAAGGCTTATCCTTGTTGTCAAGTCTGTGTTCCCAGCCTCTTTGAGCCAGATTCTGCCACAGGGCCCAGCAGCGGGGACAGAGCTGGCCGTAAGTGACTTTCATGTTGTCCTGGTCTTCCAGTATTGTGCATGGAGCCGATGCCTGGCTGAGTCGGGAGGAGCCTGTGGGCTGCTCAAGCTCATTCCAGTGGCTTTTTGCTGCAACGAGCTGTTTGCCGTGTCCTGAGACTCCAGGACTTTAGTTTGTCCCTGTCCCCCAGCTGTGTGCCCTGCAGCAGCTGCAGTGAGGGGGGTGGGACCCAGGATTTGATACGGCACCCGGAGATCCCCGTGTCCAGCTGAACCCTCTTTCAAGCAGCTTGACGATGGTGCCGCGCCATTAGCAACCAGGACTCAGGTGAGTTGCTGACCATGCAGCTTCTGGTAGCACCTGAGAGCTCTGCCTTTGGAAGTTGAATCCAGGCCTGTCAAATCGGTGACATTCCCCAGGGGTTGGCTCTGCTCTGGAGGTATTGGCCTGCCAGGGATTTGCAGTAATTATCCTCCATGAGTTCAGTTCCTGCAGGTAGTTCGATAACTCTCTCTGCAGCGATATGGGGCTGTAGTGTGTCGGAGTGGCTGCCCACTGACCCAGAGGGGGAGGAGCTCCTCTCAGAGCCCCGGTGGGCAGCGCCTGGCCCCAGGACATCACCAGAGGACTCAGGAATTGTGGCCAAAGCTATAAAAGACCAGCCCAGGAGGCCAGTATGAAGTTTCCAGTGTCAAGGTATCTTTTTTTAAATGAGGCGACCACAGGTGCCTGCAGTATTTATACAGTATGCATGGATTTGTATAGAGGCAATAAGAGATTTTGTCTTATTCTCGATCCCCTTTTTAATGATTCCTAACATTGGTTGCATTTTTCCACTGCTGCTACACATTGCTGGGAGGGGGAGTGCGGAAAGAGCCCAGGGCAGGCATCCTTAGTCTGGCAGAGGTGCCAGCCCCCAGTGACAGGTGACCTGCCATGTAGCCAGGTGTGCTGGGAGGGGGAGTGTGGAAGGAGCCCAGGGCAGGCATCCTTAGTCTGGTGGGGCCAGAGCCGGTGTCAGCGTGTGGTAGGCAGAATCCGCACTAACCCAGTGGCAGACGGAGCTGCAGCTGGCAGGGCTGGGATGCAGCAGGGCGGGGGGAGCTGCATCCCCCCTGCCAGCCCAGCCGCGGGCTGGGGGGGGAGAGCTCCCCGCCAGTGCTGGGAGACCCCTCTGTGTGCTAGTCCCCACCCGCCAAGCAGGGCCTGGCTGGTCCCTCAGGACTGTGTGTTTGATGCCCCACCCTGAACCCAGTTGGGGAGCAGCCGGGCAGCCACCACCAGCCTCCCCGGGGCTCACGCTGCCATCAGATGCAGGCAGGGACCATCAGGCATCACTTGCAGGTAGGGGTGTGGATGGGTCCCTGTTAAGGCCTGACTCCCCTCTGGAGCCTGGTTCCTCAGAACATTGTGTTTGCCCTGCATCCGAGCTGCGGCCAGGCCACTGTTGGCTCAGCCTGACCGTGAGCCCAAGCCCCTGAACTGACTCCCTAGGAGAGATTGAGCTGGGTGCAGTGAGGCACAGTGGCCACCCCTGCTTGTTCTCCCAGCCTTTCCCTGGGGCGCTGCTCAGGGTCTCATGATTTGAACCATTGATAACACTCCGAACGGGAAGGACTCAGATATAGAGAACGTCTCTGGAGGCTGCTTTTGGGTTATTTTGTAGGAAGAGCCACGGCAGGAGGTGATACAGCGGTGGCCAGTCAATGGCTCCGAGTGTTCCCCTTGACGCTGGTCTATAAGCTGGAGGGAATTTAATTGATACCCTGGGGAGCGGAGTCTGTCCTTTGAGAGGGGGAAACCCACCGAGGGCAGGAATGGCTCTGAGTTTCCTTTATTGCAGAGACAGGTGGGGAGTCAGCGATGCTGTCAGGAGCCCTGGGAATGGAGGCTGAGAGGAGAATGTGGATCCACTAGTGGGAACTAGCAGCTCAAGTTCCTAAAGTTAGTGCCCAGTTCTGTCACGTGTCTGGCATTTTCCTTCGTGGAGGCCAAGCTGTTCACTGGGGGAAAGACAGAGACACAGAACTTAGTGGTGAAACCCCCGGCCAGTTGGAGCAAGCGTCTATCCAGGCCCCATTACATCAAATAACCAGAGCCCTCTGGCTGGCAGCAACAAGAATCCAGACACTTGACCTAGGCTCTAAATAGTCGCTCACAGCTCCAGGGCTCTCCAGGGCTTTCCAAGCTGTCATTAAAGTTATCTCTACAGTGGTTTCCAGAGCAGGTGGGAGGACGTGCCAGGCACACCCTAGGTGTAGTGAATACTGGGGCAGTGCTGTGGGCTGGGTCCCCCATGGGGCACATGCCGTCCAAGCCTGGGTGTTCCTGTTTGTTGTGACTGTGAGTGCGCAACAAACGGCTCATGCTGCAGGTTGAAGGTGCTGCCCAGCAAAGCCCCTGAACAATTGCAGTGGTACCAGCCTTGTTTGGCCGGATCATGCCACAGGGCCCAGCAGCGGGGGCAGGGCTGGCCACGAGTCACTGGGATGTTGTCCGGACCTTGCCCGTATTGTGCCTGGGGCCGGTGCCTGGCTCAGTCTGCAGGCGCTTGAGAGCAGCTGAAACTCATTCCAATGGCCT